TCACATTTGTAATACTATATATTAATTGTTAATTTTTTAAGTTATTGATTGCTGTTGGTTTGATGATTTCACACATTTCTTTATCCATTTTTTTTTCTTTTTTAATCAAGTAATAGAGCAGGTTCTCATTGTGACTTACTCCATATAGTGTGACAACATGCCCCACAAAAGGCCAAATTTTGTTTTGTCCTGGCCCATTCAAAACTATTATAATAATAATTATATATCTACATTTCTCTGCATGTTTATATGCATGTCCCACCACTTTAGTGAGGCGGTTTTGTTGAAATATTTTTTGAAGAAATAATATTAAAAGTTTATAGCAAGTTTTTTAGGATATTAGGATATCAGGACAGTTGTCCCACCATTTATTTTTTAAATTGCAATTAATTCTGATACAGAAATTTAAAAAACATCCACATCACTGAAGGGTGATACAGTATGTGTGAACTGTATTTTTAATGGTTTTGAATACATTTTTAGATAACACAAACAAATATTCTTCATCTCCCTCTAAATCCGTCAGATTTCATTTATTTTCCTTCTAAATAAGTACGTTAAAAAATAAATACTTAAAAAAGCTTACAATTTAAATTGCTGTTGAAGTTCAGGTATAACGGTAAATAATGCATAATTATTATCTTACCCTTGAGCACTTTTTAAGTTTTCCTAATATTCGTTGGAAGGGTGCATTGTCCCTCTGCAACAACAAAAGAACATTTGTTATGCATGTCACCTTATTAAATATACATATTGTGATATACATATTGTGATTGGAGTCCGTGTATGAATTAGGATACTTACAGGCAGAGATTTGTGGATGAGTTCTGAAATCTCCATCATGTCTTTGATCATAGGTGGAGTGATATGCAGGTTCAAGCACTCTTCCTGCTTGTGGCCTTGAGCGCAGCACAGGACAGTGCAGAGGGCGAGCAAGGTTACAATCCGCATCCTGGTTCGGTTTCAGAGAGGGTTGAAACGTATCGTACAGTCTGTACAGTAGCTCAGTGTGCTTTAAACAACCACTGACATTCATAGCTTTTATAGCTCCATCCTTTGCGAAAAAAAAATTCCCACACTTGTGACGGAGTTTCTTTTTAACCTCAAATGCTGAGGATTGCATGCTGGCTTGGCCCTCATTTTTCCTTGTGGGTTCAGTCACCTGTTGGCCTATGTGGTTTTGCATTCTAGAGACGAAAGCCTTGTGCAAATCGATTACTGGATTTTGTTATTCTAAATGACAGATGAATAGGGGAGACCGAGGCTAGTTGTCACAAAGGCACAAAAGTGTGAGTCAAAAGTGAGGTTTGAGTAAGTTGTCACATTTGTAATACTATATATTAATTGTTAATTTTTTAAGTTATTGATTGCTGTTGGTTTGATGATTTCACACATTTCTTTATCCATTTTTTTTTCTTTTTTAATCAAGTAATAGAGCAGGTTCTCATTGTGACTTACTCCATATAGTGTGACAACATGCCCCACAAAAGGCCAAATTTAGTTTTGTCCTGGCCCATTCAAAACTATTATAATAATAATTATATATCTGCATTTCTCTGCATGTTTATATGCATGTCCCACCACTGTAGTGAGGCGGTTTTGTTGAAATATTTTTTGAAGAAATAATATTAAAAGTTTATGGCAAGTTTTTTAGGATATTAGGATATCAGGACAGTTGTCCCACCATTTCTTTTTTAAATTGCAATTAATTCTGATACAGAAATTTAAAAAACATCCACATCACTGAAGGGTGATACAGTATGTGTGAACTGTATTTTTAATGGTTTTGAATACATTTTTAGATAACACAAACAAATATTCTTCATCTCCCTCTAAATCCGTCAGATTTCATTTATTTTCCTTCTAAATAAGTACGTTAAAAAATAAATACTTAAAAAAGCTTACAATTTAAATTGCTGTTGAAGTTCAGGTATAACGGTAAATAATGCATAATTATTATCTTACCCTTGAGCACTTTTTAAGTTTTCCTAATATTCGTTGGAAGGGTGCATTGTCCCTCTGCAACAACAAAAGAACATTTGTTATGCATGTCACCTTATTAAATATACATATTGTGATATACATATTGTGATTGGAGTCCGTGTATGAATTAGGATACTTACAGGCAGAGATTTGTGGATGAGTTCTGAAATCTCCATCATGTCTTTGATCATAGGTGGAGTGATATGCAGGTTCAAGCACTCTTCCTGCTTGTGGCCTTGAGCGCAGCACAGGACAGTGCAGAGGGCGAGCAAGGTTACAATCCGCATCCTGGTTCGGTTTCAGAGAGGGTTGAAACGTATCGTACAGTCTGTACAGTAGCTCAGTGTGCTTTAAACAACCACTGACATTCATAGCTTTTATAGCTCCATCCTTTGCGAAAAAAAAATTCCCACACTTGTGACGGAGTTTCTTTTTAACCTCAAATGCTGAGGATTGCATGCTGGCTTGGCCCTCATTTTTCCTTGTGGGTTCAGTCACCTGTTGGCCTATGTGGTTTTGCATTCTAGAGACGAAAGCCTTGTGCAAATCGATTACTGGACGATGAAATCTAGGTTGCGAGAGCGTAAAATGTGTTGCGATGCATTCAAACCTACAGCATTTCCTTTGATGTGAATAGTGAACTGTCTTGAAACTGTTTAGCTATTGGAAAAATACTGTGAGACTTTTTTAAAACCATATAGAACATTAAAATGATGATGTCAGTGCTATTATAAAATATTCTTAGTTTCTTTGTTCAAAAAATAATTATAAAATATTTCAGATTAACTACACAATATTATCTAGTATATATAGTTTAAATTTGTACATTTGACAAATTTAGACTATTTGAAGGACACAAAATATCCCATCATTCATTATTTTAAAAACTAAAATGATTTAAAATGACGTTAGACATGCATTCGTCCTAAATCCCAAACAAAAAGTTAAATATATGTAAAAAAATATATATATTTTCTCAAGTCCCCCAAATTTAGAGCAGAGGTTACTAATAACTTACGTGATCGTTGACATTTACCGAAACACGTTTTACCATGACAAAGTATAACCCCCTCTTCCAAAGGGCTTAACCACCTTCTCAAACCAGGTCAGCGCCTACAAAACTCAGCGAAGAACTTAACCTGACCCAGAAAGCGTTCTCAAGATCTGCCACAGTATAAGAATACCAAAGATGAACCGTTACAAAAAACATTTGAGTCAGAGGGTGCAAGAGGAAGTTCAACGTTAAAACCTGCATTTATTGGAAGACCACTAGTTTGATCAAGTCTTCTAAACCAAATTTAACTTGACTCAGATGAACTGAGTCATGCTGAATCACTATGAATGAAAGGGAAAAAAGCTTCCCAATATCACTTCTTCTTCAACCACAAGATCTGATAGTACCAGAGGTGAAAGCTAAAAATACCCCGGCTGATTGAACCATTCAATCTTGCATTATACTGTATGTATGAGTTGGGAACTTTCGCTTTTGTCTGTCTGTGTGTGTATGTTAAGAGTGTTACACAATACACACAAGGAAACATGAACCTGAAAATTCCCAAGCCTTTTGTTATCCTGTGCATTCCACCATTTTTCGTGCATTTACCCTTCACGTTAAGGTTTTGAAATATCCTCTCTGAGACATTACTGGCTGAGATGAAGTGTCCAACAGTGCATGGGGCACTTCCTGGGAATTTCACAACACCTCAGACCTGCAGAATGGAGGATAGTACATAGGCGTGGGAACGGATTTTTGGCAGGTGATGCAGTTTTGATAAACACACATTGTGCACATGCAAAGCGTCAAGGCATCAGAGAATTGTTTAGGCAAATTACTATTAAAATGGGTATGTATGTATTGTTTAATACTACACTAAAATGAAATAGCCAATCATAAACTGGCTTTTGCTACTGATAAATAGATTTTTTTTCTTAATGCTTGTAACTAGACTTGTAAACGCACAAATGTTCGTTAATGTTATTTTATTGGCCATGTAATCTAACGTGTTCTTCCTGGGATATGTTCATGTGTGTTCACCTTAAAAATTTTAACATACTATATTGACACAAGTATTGGGATGCCTGACCGTTACACCAACAGGGACTTTAATGACATTGCATTCTAAATATAAACTAAAGACATTAATATGAAGTTGGTCCCCCTTTTGGAGCTATAACAGCTTCCACTCTTCTTGGAAGCCTTTCCAGGATGTTTTGGAGTGTTTCTCTGGGAATTGTTGCTTATTCATCAGGTAGAGTATTTGTGAGGCCAGGCACTGATGTTGGACAAGAAGCTCTGGCTCGCAACCTCCGTTCCAGTTCATCCCAAAGGTGTTCAATGGGTTTGAAATCAGGGCTCTGTGTGGGAGAGTCAAGTTCTTCCACAACATACTCCTTCAAACAATGTTTTTATGGACCTTGATAGAATAGAAGAGCATCTTCCCCAAACTGTTCCCACAGAGTTGGAAGCATAGCATTGTCCAAAATGTCTTGATATGGGTTGCATTGGTGCCGTGACCCGGATGGGAGTGAGGTTTAGGGGACTGAGTTTAATGGAGGCCAGCTGGTAAGTGCTGTGCAGGTAAACTTCACTCCTCTGATCTCAAGTGGTGCACTAGCGACTGACACCGTGTCCTAACCAGGGCTGGAATTGGGGGGACGCGGGGGTACGGAGTCCGGGGAATGAATTTCGAGGGGGGACGGCGCTTCATTTCCAACTGGTTAGGTTTATTTGGAAATTAGAGAGATTTCTGTATTTTATCCATTCAAAAGACTACGAAAGCGATCCCAGTTCTGCATATGCGATATAGAATAAAAACGTAGTGGGATATTTGTGTCTATGGGTAGCTGCGCAATGCCGTCTTTTGTGATTGGCCATAAACCTGTAGACTGCAGCCAATGGAAATGCTTCTCTATCGGTGCACGTCCTGCTCCTCACAACAGATCGTGAAAGCAGACTGCAGTTTTTGTCATTCAAGCTCAGATCTTCTCATTATAACAAAGTGTAGAGACTATGTAAATAATAGCTTCAGTGTGCAGTGTAGAGAGCTTCATTAATTATAATGGAAGTTTGTGAGATCGCGATGACGTGTGGCAGCATTTTAATGAATATAAAGGGAGTTTGCAAATGTGAAATTGAATTTATACAACAGTTTTATACATTTTTTTATTTTATAAAAATGTTAATCTTAAGTGACTTACATTTTAGGAACACTGTTGTCTGATTGTGCTCTATTTCGTCAACGAAAATAGTTCCAAACAAAGTCACAGCTGATCCGTTGCGCATCTCCAAGCAAACACTGCGGTGTTTAGTTTATGAATGAATCTGCGTTTTAGAACGAATCTAGTGAGTCAATGATTCAATGAGCCATTCATAAAGGGAATCACTTGCTTCGTTCCTAAATGAATCAGCCCTTTGAACGAATCTTGAATGAATGATTCAGTGACAAAAACAGTGACTTGCTGCCACCTACTGGCGGTTTCAGTATCATTTTTAAAGTATAAATTGAGTCATTTAAATTGTTTAATATTTCTATATTCAAAACTTTATATTTAAAATATTAATTTCATAGCATTGTTATTGTGAAATGCATTAATGCCACCTCTGAGTCTTGTCAAATAGTCTATAAATATTCCTTAATGCCACATTTGTGCTCTTCTGTGCCATGCAAAGATGAATTGTTGATGCTGATTTCATTTGACTAGTAACTTATTCTTCCTGATTTTATTTTATTATTTTAATTGAATTTATTGTTTAATTACAATTTTTGATAAAAGTTTATGAATCTACATTTTTTGGCACAAAAGATAACATACATTTAATAAAGATAGAGGCATTACAAAGGTTAAAAAAACTTTTAAGGAGTCAAAAGGTTAATTTCTGTCATTGATCAGAAGGTGTTCCTAAATTTTTTTTTGTTTTTTAAGTAGGAGCACAAGCGCTCCTGAAAAGAAATGTTAGTGTAGAGTCCTTAAGAATGTAATGTTACCTTTTAAAAACTAATTGCAAACGTTTATGCAAAGTGTAAACTATTAAATATAATCTACAAATCATGCAATACTGTACCACTAAATAAGAAGTGTTTTGAGGGCTTAGCTAAACAGGCCAATTAGAGACAATTACTAATCTTTCTGATTTTTTATTAAATCATTCTTTCATTTCACTAATCAAACTTTTTTTTAATTAAACACAAGGGGTCATTAATGATGTTTACATTGTAACATGCAAATTCACACACAAAGTATATTTAAGTTGGCCAGAATTGCAGGTGCCTATATCCAAGAAGGTTTAGAGAAAATATGAAATAAGTTTAATGTTATTATAGATTATAAAGGGTTTTATAATGAAATACATCCGAAAGGTCATATACCCCCCATTCCATGAAGCTCCCACCACACAGTTTTTGTGATGATAATAATACCAGTGAAGTTTGGAGTTCTTAAGCTATGTAATCACCAGAGTATTGGCAACTTTTAGGCACCATGTGCTAGTGTTGTAGTACTCAAGACTGTTTCTTTTGATACTGTTGCGCCGGGTCAGAATTTAAAAGGGAATTGTGTCACAAATTTTAAGATATGATTGCTAAAAGATTATTAGTATTAGATCTTGTTTTTGTTATAACATACATGATTAAACAATAGCCTATCACAAGAGCAAATCGGTTGAGTAAATGATTCTGTGACTCACTTATGAAGTGATTTGCCACCACATAGCCTACTGGCGGTTTTAGTGTCATATTTATTTTTCTATCATATTTCTATATTCAAAATTGCATTTTTAAAACATTGAGCACAACAATATTTATGTAGTTGTAATTGTATCAATTCCGATGTTGTTACTGATTTAATTTGATTGGTAACAGCTCTATTAACCGTCTTATTATAATTGTATTTGTTGATTAAATATAAGCCATTTCTCAGGCAGTAAATGAAGATCTTTCAGATGAATTCAGTTTAGTCTTGATCTTGACTTGGTCTCACACTTCCCTGGTCTTGTATTGGTCTCAACCCCACCCCTCAAAGTCTTGGTCTCAACACACTCTGGTCTTGGTCTCGGTTTAGGTGGTCTTGACTACATTACAACACTACCATGTGCCTTAGCACTCAGTGACCCTGCTCTGTGACTTTAAGTGGTCTTCTGCTTAGTGGCTGAGTCACTGTTCCACTTTTCAATAATACCATAGACCGTGGAATATGAAATATCACCATTAGGCCAAGTCCATTAGGGATTTACACTGTATTTACTTGTAGGTGTGAGTCTCAAAATGTTCTGTTCACACAGCAGCTTACAACAGAGGCTTGAATACGGTCTGTATGAGCATCCAACTGAAGTCAAGCCATATTCTATTTGTGACACACAACTCATATCTGCGTCTCTGTAAGTTACCGAAACCACGCATGAAAACCCGCAACAGACTAGATGTGTGCGTGCAGAGCGGCTCTCTCACACTGTATGATGTGACTGATAAGGAGTCCAGAACAGTTCCATTCTAAACGGGGTAACCAAACAATTAATGAACCCCATTGACTTCCATAGTATCAACTGGGGACCATCAACTGTTTGGTTACATTCTTCAAAATATCTTTTTTGTGTGTGTTTGGCAGAAGAAAGAAATTCTTGCATGCAACTTGAGGGTGAAGAATTGTCATTTTTGGGTCAATTATCCCTTTAAGGCAGGTACGTCAGTTTTGGGCATTACACCCTGATATGTAGGCAGAGTCGATTTGCAAAGCGGACCCGCTTCCTCATCACACCAGAATTTTTAGTCACATCAATACTTTTTAAATTTCAGTTATTTTAATTGGAAAACCTTAACGGTGTTAACAGCACCCCCACATGAGTTATTACAATGAAATGTCAAATAATATTTTATGATCAAAATCAAATCGTTGATATTGTTATCCAGTCTTGCTCACTAGGGGGGTTTCAAAACACTCTTTAACACACCTATGACTAACCCTTTATGATGTTAAAACAAACGTTGTACATGCTTGTTGTGAAATAATCAGAAACAAGCTTAAGAGAAATAAAAACCTGATTTTATTTTAAAACAAACACACATATCTCTTGTATGGGGAAAGATAAATTAATATATTGCAAAATACATTAAATTCATATATTTTTTAACTTGGTGTGTTAATGCTTTTACAATGCATTTACTTTGTAGTGGTCTGTCTTGGGATGTTTAGCCCGAGTCAGCCACAACAACAGCCACAAATGTGACCTTACAACACACAGCATGAAAGCACAGTTTCCATGCCATTCTTAAAAATCTATATAGCATACAATAAATATCTAAAATAAATAAGTCCATAATAAATAATCCTTTGAATATAAAAAAAACAGATGGCAATACTGCGGAGGAGAGTTTCAGAGTCATATTCTTGCATTGCAGGATTCAAAGAGGTAGTGGAAGAGAATAATCGTCTCTCCGACTGCTTTGTTACGAGTTTTCTGAAGAATAAAAATAATTGGTATTAAAGGCATGCAGAAGAACACATTTAATATTGATTCAACACTGAATGAAAATATCAACTGACCTCGTATTCCCGTTCACTGGCAGTTTTATAGTTCTTCTCGAATTCCTTAAAACGCACATGGTCTACGAAGTCGAAGTTTTCCTGTAAAAACAGAACGTTTAAGTACAAAGCACATAACGGCTGGTCAGCTGGTTGAAATTATCAAACAGTTTTTGAAAACTTACACAGTGTGGCTTCAAAATGTGTGCGATCCTCTGCAGGTCAGACCTCACAAAACGAATGTGTGGGTACTTTTTATCAACATGCTCATCTGCGTGCAAGATGTGCTTTAGATAGTAATTCAGGATCATGGCGTTGACACAACAAGAATTCTCCTCCTGGAACAGAGATAATAATAATTTATAACATTAGTTTAATGCCATAGCACTTTACACTGTTAAAAAAATAAATAAAAAGTTGTAAATACAACAAAGATTACTGGAGTATGTTTTACAAGAAAATACAATTGCCTTTCTACTTCAAAATGTCATATTTAATTCAGTTTTGCTTGTTTCTTTGCAATTAATTGTGAAATTTACTAGCAATTTCGAAGTGGAAATTGTTTCACCACCAGTAAGAAATCTATCTGAAATCCAATCAAATCAAATGTGACTATTTATTTGATTACTCTAGTACATAGCCTATTCCATTGCTACAAATATCTGTTCTGTTGTTATTACTGTTCTGTAACTTATTGTGAATTTGTATTGAATTATAGACTATGGTTCCTTTCAGTTCTATTTATTAGAACATAGTAGAACATTTATTAGAACAAATTTTTTTCTAATGAATAAATGATGACTATAGTATAGCAAATGAATAAGTATTAGCATGTAAAGTATAATGATTATTGAATAGATACTACATTCTCCAAAAGTCACTCAAAAATAATCAAACAAACACTGATCACTATTGGAAAAAGTGCAACTAGCTAGTGACTAAGTGCCATATATATATATATATATACATACACACACTTTAAGGAAAAAAGCACAAACCTGGCACTGGCGTGGTACCCTACTATTGATATGTAAACTTTAGGTACTAATAGGCACCATTTAAGGGTAAAGAAATTGCAAAGATGTACCTTTAAGGTTTTGTACCACCATAGTGACAGGTTTGTATTTTGGTTATGATTTAAACAACATACTTTTAGCATAACCTCGGAGAACACTGGAAGCAGTCTTGTTTCGTGGTCTGCATCTTCCAGCTGTGCCTGCGAGGGTTAATAAACATAAATGTTATACATTTAATTTTAAATAAACAAAATGATATATTTATAAAATTGTTGCTCTTTCGTGTATATAGAATATACATTGCAACCGAGTCAACGAAACGTACATGTTTAGTCATCATGAAGAGGTCGTTCCAGGTGGCGGAGCTGTCTAAAGGTTTGGGGCGCGGGCGAGTGAGGTGCATCGCCTGGCCGCGCTGAAAGCACCAGCAGCACATCACAGCAAGCAGAGTTAGGGACTTCATCCTGCAGGCAGACTTGTGGATTCAGTGGTGTTTCCTCTTAGGTAGACTGTTGTTCCTCGCAGACGAGATTTGGAGTGCATGTTGTGACTCTAGAGCTTTTATATTCTCCTGCTTTGTCCCAGTTATTACCACTACGTCACTGTGGTATCGTCTCTTTACCTTTGGCGTAATCCCCCAACCTCTGCACCTGAGTTTATCAGGTCAAGCGGATCTCTGAGTAACCGTGCATGCTTCGTATTCGCTGACTGTTATGATTGCATCGGAAATTCGCACCGCAAATTGTCTGACAGAAATAAAGCTGCCAATAATTACTGCAATAAGGACATATGACAGGCGAAGAGGTCTGAAGTGGACAGAGTAGCTACTTCCTGTGAATTTCCCGCTCTGGTGAATATTAATTAGTGCGCGACAAAAATAACGCCTTTATTATGTAGTTCTTTCCATTTAACACTGCTAGGAGACATTGCAATTACCCATTTCATCGTCAGCATGTTCATATAAGTTTGAAAGCTGCAAAATTATTACATCATAAAGCAAATAGTGTTGTTGAAAATTCTGTCAGGATGTGTTTGGGGAAGCTGTCGACGCCTGTGAGAGGCTCAATAAGGAAGGTTCACGCTTGTATTCATTACGTCAAACTAGATAATAGCCTACATGTTGCCTACATTACATAAAAGGTCCGTATAATTATGAATTTATTGAAGTTGTATAATTTACTGACGTCAAATACAAACCTCAAGAATGTTATTGTTGCAAAATTGTTCAATAAAAACAATTCTATTAACATTGTAACCAAAGTTCTATTGATCGGCTCTAAAATGAAATTTAGGAAGCCATATTATTTATAATCTCTCACCTATAAAAGCGTATCAATTTTCTAATACTGTCTAATTCTATAGCCTACATTTTATTTAAGGGAAAAATTGAGGCTATAGGCTATATGTTGATTCAGTCATAT